ACTCTCCACTTCCTCAGTAAACATTCTGACCTTAATGTCAAGGTCATATATCAAGGACAAAGTTCAAGGTCAAAGGTCAAGGTCATACAGATAGGTGGAAAGATCCAATAAACAGAGGCATTTCAAGAGATTTCTGCTCAGAAAGGTTAAAGAAATTAATAATTACTAGACGAGCTTGCGTCAAAGATTTAGCATTCTGGCCCCTTATGGCCCCTAATTACGAAATTTTTTATAAAATTTCAAGATATATAGATGCAGATTGGGGAAATGAACATTTTTGCTTCAATAATTAATATCAAAATATTTAACGTTAAGGAGTTATAGATGAAAGACTTTTGGCCCCTCTTAGCCCCTAATGTGAGGGGTCAGCCCCTTTTTCTTGATATCACTTGAAAGGTCTTGTGATTCTGAAGACTTTTTGTTCAACGACTATTCAGAAGTTTCGTTTCATTTTCGAGATATGTAGACCTGAAATATTTAGGGGCCGTCCCTTTAAGTCCTTATAGGGGCTGTTTAGGAAAAATTCAAAGGATGCACATTGTTCAAATCATCATTCTAAACAACTTTTGTTCAATATTGCTTTTCAAAATGTTCCCCCTTTTCGAGATATAGAGCTTCAAAGATAAAGCATTCTGGCCCCTTATGGCCCCTAATTACGTAATATTTGAAGAAAATTTTAAGATATATAGTTGCAGATTGTGAAGATGAACATTTTTGCTTCAATATTTAATATAAAAATATTTAACGTTAAGGAGTTATAGATGAAAGACTTTTGGCCCCTCTGAGCCCCTAATTTGAGGGGTCAGCCCCTTTTTCTTGATATCACTTGAAAGGTCTTGTAATTTTGAAGACTTTCTGTTCAACAACTATTCAGAAGTTTCGTTTCGTTTTCGAGATATGTAGACTTGAAATATTTAGGGGCTGTCCCTTTAAGTCCTTATAGGGGCTGTTTAGGAAAAATTCAAAGGATGCACATTGTTCAGATCATCATTTTAAACAACTTTTGTTCAATATTGCTTTTCAAAATGTTTCCCCTTTTCGAGATATAAAGCGTCAAAGATTAAGCATTCTGGCCCCTTGTGGCCCCTAATTATGTGCCATACGACGTAAAAATTATCATATATAGTTGTAAATTCTTAAGATAAATATTTTTGCTTCAGTAATGCATACCAAAATATTTCTTGTTTAAGAGTTATCGATTTCAGACATTTGGCCCCTATCGGCCCCTAATGTGATGAGTCAGCCCTTTTTTCTTGATATCATGTTACAGATCTTTTTATTCTGCACAAATATTGTTCAATATGTTTTAACAAAATAATTATACTTTAAAAGATATGATACAAAATGTTTCAAAAATTCACTCATGATTCGTGTCCTAAATTTTGACCCCTACCGAGCTTCCATACTATGCACTTTCGGAAAATATCTAAACCTAGGTGCAATATGGCAACATGTCCTCTATCATCACTGAAAATTTCAGCGCTCTAGCTTAAGCCGTTTTTGAGTTCCATCACAGACAAGGAGGTCCTCTGAATTTTATTAAAAGGGCGATAACTTTCGACCGGAAGTGATTGTCAAAAAAATATTTAGCCGGAATTAACTTCAGATAACCTAGCACCAACCCTGAAAATTTGATGCAAATCCATCGACCCATCTCTGAGAAATCGTCTGCACAAAATTTGTGCAGAAAAAAAGAATAATAACTAGATGAGATCTCGTTGCGAGCAACGAGTGGGTCTTCCGTCCGATTTTTGATAAGATGAGATAAGAATTTGACTGAGATTTTCGTTCAAATATAATGATATAAATAAATTGTTAAGACGAACAATTTTACTTTAATAATGTTTTACAAAATATTGATCATTAAAGGAATATAGATTAAAGACTTTCGCCCCTTCTTGGCCCCTAATGTGAGAGATCAGCCCCTTTTTCTTGATATCATTTTAAAACTCTCATGATTTTGAAAACTTTTTTGTTCAACAACTAGTCAGAAATTCTTTTTTGTTTTCGGGATGCATGCAAAAGAAATATTAAAGGCCAGCCCTTCAAGTCCTAAATGGGGATGTCTAGCAGAAAAGGAAAGAGTGCATATTGTTCAGAATATTATTTTGATCGTCTTTTGTTCAATACTGTTTATAAAAATATTCTTCCTTTTCGAGATATATTGCGCCATAGATTATGCAATCTGGCCCCCTAAAGACCCCTTACTGCGTAATATATGATATCAACATCATGTTATTTAGATAAAGTGTATGAAGATGTACTATTTCGCTTCAGTAATATATTACAAAATATTGATCATTAAAGAGTTATTGATTGTATACTTTCGGCCCCTCTCAGCCCCTTATTTAATGGGTCAGACCCTTTTCCTTCATATCACTTTAAAGCTCTCCTGATTTTGAACACTTTTTGTTCAGCAACTACTCAGAAATTCTTTTTCGTTTCTGAGATATTTGCAAAGGAAGTATTTAGGGGCCGGCCCTTCAACTCCTAAATGGGGACGTTTAGCAAAAAATGAAAGGTTGCATATTGTTTAGAACATTATTTTGAACATTTTTTGTTCAATATTGCTTATCAAAATATTTTCTACTTTTGAGATATAAAGCGTCAAAGATTTAGCATTCTGGCCCCTTATGACCCCTAATTATGTAACATATTATGTGAATATCATAATATATAGTTGTAATTTGTTGAGATGAACATTTTTGCTTCAGTAATGCATTACAAAATATTGATCGTTAAAGAGTTATTGTTCAAAGACTTTCGGCCCCTCTCAGCCCCTATTTTGAGGGGCCAGCCCCTTTTTCTTCATATCACTTTAACGCTCTCCTGATTTTGAACATTCTTTGTTCAACAACTACTCAGAAATTTTTCTTTGTTTCTGAGATATTTGCAAAGGAAGTATTTAGGGACCGGCCCTTCAACTCCTAAATGGGGACGTTTAGCAGAATATGAAAGGTTGCATATTGTTTAGAACATTATTTTGAACATTTTTTGTTCAATATTGCTTATCAAAATATTTCCTACTTTTGAGATATAAAGCGTCAAAGATTTTGCATTCTGGCCCTTTATGGCCCCTAATTATGTAACATATGATGTGAATATCATAATATACAGTTGTAAATTGTTGAGATAAACATTTTTGCTTCAGTAATGCATTACAAAATATTGATCGTTAAAGAGTTATTGTTCAAAGAATTTCGGCCCCGCTCAGCCCCTATTTTGAGGGGCCAGCCCCTTTTCCTTCATATCACTTTAAAGCTCTCATGATTATGAACACTTTTTGTTCAACAACTATTCAGAAATTCTTTTTCGTTTCCGAGCTATATGCAAAAGATATATTTCGGGGCCAGCCCTTCAACTCCTTAATGGGGAAGTTTAGCAAAAATTGAAAGGTTGCATATTGTTTAGAACATTATTTTGAACATCTTTTGTTCAATATTGCTTATCAAAATATTTCCCACTTTCGAAATATAGAGTGCCAAAGATTTGGCATTCTGGCCCTTTATGGCCCTTAATTATGTAACATATGATGTATATATCATAATATATGGTTGTAAATTGTTAAGATAAACATTTTTGCTTCAGTAATGTATACCAAAATATTGATCGTTAAAGAGTTATCGATCAAAGACTTTTGGCCCCTCTCGGCCCCTCATATGACGAGTCAGCCCTTTTTTCTTGATATCATGTTAAAGATCTTGTCATTCTGCACAAATATTGTTCAATATGTTTTTACAAAATAATTATACTTTAAAAGATATGATATAAAATGTTTCAAAAATTCACTCATGATTCGTGTCCTAAATTTCGACCCCTACCGAGCTTCCATACTAGGCACTTCCGGAAAATATCAAAACCCAGGTGCAAAATGGCAACATGTCCTCTATCATCACTGAAAATTTCAGCGCTCTAGCTTAAGCCGTTTTTGAGTTCCATCGCAGACAAGGAGGTCCTCTGAATTTTAATAAAAGGGCGATAACTCTCGACCGGAAGTAAATATCCCTTAACAGACTTGTCGGAATTAACTTCAGATGTCAATGCATCTACCTTGAAAATTTGAATAAAATCGAACGAGCCATCTCCGAGAAATCGTCTGCACAAATTTTGTAAGGAGAAAAAAGAATAATAATAATAATAATAATAATAATAATAAAGGTAAAAAAGAAACCTAAGAATAATAGAAGGGTCTTCCGCTGAAGACGGAAGACCCTAATAAGAAAATTGAAAAAGAAACATAAGAATAATAGAAGGGTCTTCCGCTGAAGACGGAAGACCCTAAAAAATTCAAAATTTACATAATGATTAGAAAGAAACTAGTTTATTATTATCAAGTCAATCATTTAATTATTTGTTTGTAAACATTAACCTAAGATGTTGTATAATTGAAGAATTGAGGATATGTTTAACAATAAAATAAAAACCAGTAAAATGGGGAGGTAGTGGTAACGATATATCATGAATATATCATGAATGTGTATTATATAAAGTAATTGAATGTAATTGAAAAAGTAATTGAAATTACATGGTATTTTTGTCAGTGTAATTAATTAAATTACAATTACAAGTAATTGAAAAAATGTTCAAATTACAAATTACTTCCAATTACTTCAAAAAATGTAATTAATTACAGTCAATTACAATTACTTTTTTCAATTACCCCATCCCTGATATACATGCATTATACTGTATGTTAAATCTTTACAGTTTTCTTCAAGTACTCTAATAGTATATGAAATATGAAGATTACCAACAGTGATCAAGCTTTAAAGTCCATTCATTTGAAACAATACATAATTAGAGCAGAGCAAACACAGACCTCTAAAAACACCAGGTGCAATGGAGGAGAAAGCATTTCCTGCCATGTGCTCCTTGACATGATTGGGCAAATGGAAAAATCCACAAACAATTCAGTGAAAACAATTTTGATGAAAAACATTAGTCAACATTCAACTTAATGATCGATTGAATTTGCTATAACAATTAATTTACACGTAAGTGTACACACATGTATGCATACTAGATGAATTATTTCACAATATCCAAAATTGGACAATAATAGTTTCTAATCTAGCTAGACAACAGGAATTTTTCATTATTACTTAAATTACATGAAACTATTGAAGTCTATGAGATACAAATTATATCTAAAAATTATACACATTTTAACAAGTATTTACAGTTTAGTGTATTTATTATACACAAATGATGACTTAGTAATTATGACTTACTAGTAAAGTCCACAGATTGACTTCCAGATTTCAGCTCAAAGGCTTGAAGATTTTTTAGTGGCTCTTTCATCATTTTTTTTTTCACTGAATATTTTCATTTTTATTTTCAATACGCTGTTTTTGTTGAGGTCTTTTAGCAGTTTGATGCAATCCAAGAACTCCAAGGGCAATTTAAGAACTCCTGAATTTCTTTCTTACCTGGAAAAAATAAAAATTTAAAAGTTTAAAATATATTCAACTTACATGAAGAAAACTAGTAAAACTAGTGATAATGTAATAGACCTTTCAGATGTTCCAAAGCAGCTACATGTATCTAATTAAAAAATATAAAGTTTGAAGTATTTAGAGTCACCAGCATTCTGAACAAGGGATATGTGTATTTGACAGACAGATGAATGAATAGACTGATCACTATAGAGCACCTTAGTCTTTTTTCAATAATCTTTATATTAGTGAAAATCAAATAGGAACTAGAGTGTTTCAAGGAATGTATATGTCACCTGCTAGGTATCGTCATTAAAGAGGTAAATAAATCTAAGAGTGGTCAGCTATTAATTTAATATTAGCATGGAGGTTCAAGCATTTGCCTGCAAGGAAAAAAAAGATCCAAAAGTATTTAAAAGACTGGGATAGAATCTGACAGTCAAAGAAAATATGGTTCCCCAGTCCTCAAATGAATAATTTAATTGAAATTATGAGGAATAACTATTTATCATTTTATTAATACACATGTAGGTGCTTCCAACAATCCTCGGAGGAAAGGAATTTCAGACTATCTTTACTTTAATTGTCACTTTGTCAGTCAACACGATTCATTGTGGAATACTGATCCCAATGTATTTTCATAGTATTTAAATATAAGTTTGTGTGGTAACTGAATTTCATACAGTTTCAAAGTATAGTATCATGAGCTCAAAAACATATATAAATGCTAATTATCAAAACCCTGCCTCTCAAAATTATGGAGATATAAGGTGTGACAGACGGACAGACAGACACCAGGTAAAGTGATCTCTAAGTGTCGTTCTGCTCTGCAGTTGACACAAAAATGAAAGTTAGTCAAATTTTGACCATGTATATCACTTCAGTGATGAAAGGAATGCTGAAGTCGTAAGTCTATCCTAATTATTTGAAAATACGGCAACCCCATTGGTCAGAATATAATACATATGCTGTCCAGCCTTAATTTCATTGGCATAAAGCAGCACAAAATACGATTTTATTGGATGGTGCAACTTGTTTTTCTAGGGGGCACTGTTGCAACCCTGGAAAAGAAAACAGGACTGGGGCTTGCCCCTAGGGGGCACTTACTGACCGGAAGTAAACAAACAACAGAAATAGCAATACACTAGAAATATGTCCATAGGACATGTATGCCCGCCGAGTGTATAGTAATGCAACATGAAATTTTGTGTTAGTGTATGAAGTTTGATGAGAATATCTTGAAAAGTTTCTTTAAAATTGAAATTGAAATCTAAAATCAAAGTACTGAAAGTACTGGGAAGCGCTAAGCAATGTTTGCAATTTGAAACTCATCAGATTTATTTTGAATTCAAATTGTCTGTTGTATTGGAATAAGTAATATGTTGACAGTGCAACTGCTGTTGATACATATTCACTTTAAAATAAAACTTGTATCCACCTCTTTTAACCGCACAAGGATAGATTTGAAGGTTCGAGACTGTGTCATCACATGGCGTCATTATACGTCGTAATTTAACAAAGAGAGTGAAATTTATTATACATTTTCATCAAAGCAAGTCTGTTACTTTTTTTTTCATTTTTATAAGTTTACTTTGTTTATCGCACGAAAGAGCAATACTGCAGTTATGGAAAAAAGTCTAATTGTGTTAAGGGGATGAAGGACACATGGTCACATGACTTTGTTAAACTACGTCATAGTCTCCATTTATATAAGTGCAAAACGTGTAAAGCATCAGTTCTTGTATAAATTTTTGACAATTTTTTTTCCTTAATTACCATCTTATATTAAAAAAATAAAAAGTTTAACATTCTTGTAAACATTAACAAATTATGAAAAAAGATTGATCCACTCCTCTGTTTCTTTAAACTGCGCGTCCAACAAGTCGGTGACTTCATGCACGATCTGCTAGTACAGCAAGATCATACTCGGTGAATACAAGGGCGGTATTATTATGTAAAAACAGGTTATAATCAGTATATGATGAAGTATTTTGAGAAACGTGGAACACAAAAATTATTTTTGCATGGCTGATGACGGAAATCTTATGTAGGTATATCGTATTTCGCTTATTTAGCTTACGTGTGACGTCATAGTTGGTTTTTCCCGTACTCGAGAAATGTAAACATGACAAAGTTTTTGTCCTGCTTATGTCGTCTTTAATGATGCCCTGTGCAATATTGAGGTCAGCTTCACCTTTCGAAATTTTTACAGTTAATCAATAATTTGAAGGACTTGCATTTCAACGTAAATTTAAAAATATTAAATGATAGGATTTTTTGTAAATTACATTTTTTGTTGTTTAAGTTGTCTTAAAAAGTTCGTAATTTTCCCTATCCAGATGCAGTGTGATAGATGAAACTTGCCTTTTCGAATTTTAAGACCAATTCATACTCTGAAATATTTTAAAAGATACATGTTCACTTACATATTTTTTATATATGCTTTAAAAATTCAATTATGGACAGAGTAATGAGCCCGGAAACATGGAGAATTAAAACTCCACATGGAGAATTAAAACTCCACTTAGATACTGTAGGGCATAATATTTGTCAATCAATATCTCTAAAATAAGGTAAGAAACCTAATGATATAACTGCTTTAAGATATGTGGGACATACTTAATAAGAAATATACAAAATATAAAAAAAAATTGAATGACAAGTATTTTTTCAGCTAAAGGTCCTTCTTCTCCTTAAATGGCAATACTGCAGTTATGGAAAAAGTCTATTTGTGTTAAATGGCATTTCCTGAAGTTATTATGGAAAAACGTTCACTTGGAGCAATTTGCACAATCCAAATTTACTCTTCGCCCCGACGTTCCTTTAAGAGCTAGTTTGCAGTTATGAGCAACACTCGCTTCTAGTCTTTTTTTTTTTTTAACTTCATTGCAATTATGCGAATTTATCCATACGACGCAAGTTCGAATCCCACAAAGGGAAGTAAAGACCGGTCCTTTGGACGAGACTGTATAAATCGAGGTTCCGTGTCACAGTAGGTGTTAGTACAAAAAAGATCCTCACTGCTCAAAGGCCATAAGTGCCGACCATAGGTCTAAATTCAGTCAAGTGGTGTATTTTCAATATGAGTGAAAAATTCTCGAAAAGACATTACGCAAGAAAAAGAGAAAAAAAATTATAGAAAATTCGAGCCAATCGTAATTTGCTAAACTTCAAATTAAAATGGCTTATCCACAATACTTCGTATCAGTAAAGTATGTATAAAAATATAATATGACAATCACATATAGTTTCTCTTAAATTTTGTTAACATGGTCAATGTTAGGCAAAATATTTCAAGAGCACTTCTTTCTCCTGTGTCTTAAAAGAGTCTTTGATAAGCTTTTAAAAATCCCACAGTGATGGATATTGCGGTGTATTCAACCATAGGCGCTTGGTTTCAGGATTGTATATTTTGTGTATTATGTGTTTTCCTAGGTGGGTTCTGAATATATTTTTTAAAACAAAAAAGCCGTTGTGATTAGGACTTTTAAAATTATATAAATTTCTGTATATAAAAAGTTGAAAGGTTCGACGCTCGTCTTCTTGGATTCCTGGGGTGCCTCGGTTTACACTTATATTCAACATCTACCATTCTCCATCGCCCTAAGAGTCTATAAAATTTAGCTTTGCGTATAAATTGCAAGCAGTGGGGGGGTCGACGAGTTTTCCAACAAAATTCAGACTATACACATAGCCATACATTATACATTAGCTAGAAAATGTATATTTTGATCAATTTTGAACACATGAAAATGGCTGATTTATTCCTCTCATTTATGTGCAACACTGACAGCTAAAAATGTTCTGTTGATAATTGTTAATAATAAATTCATTCCGTGAAACTCATGAGTGTTTCAGACTGAAGATTGGCTGTTGACTGTGATTTTATTTGTAAGAAGTGCACTTAAAAATAGACGTTATTTTTTACTGCTTCGATAAAATAATTCCTAATTGATAACATATTTATTAAAGTTAAGAATAAAAGATCGTAAAACAACTATATATTTTGTATGAATTGTTTTTTAGTATATTTCATTTTTATTATTATTATTATTATTTTTTTTTTTTTTTGCATATTCATAAGCGAGCTATAAATTTACGATTCTATAGAAAGGATTTTATAAGAAGTACATTCAATGGCGTCCTGATAGAATAAAATATCCACTGCACTGGTGTGTTCGGTGAAACGGAATACTGAAAATAATTAAGGTTTTGCATTTTCGCTATATCTTGCGCAATGCACACTTTTGTCATAAATATTTCCGAGAAATTAGTTTTCATTTATAAGTCTTTGCGCCCTACATGTACGTACAGCCACAAACTGCCTTTCCTTGCGAATTATTTACATAATTTTAGAGGTCCGTGTTTGCTATGCTCCTATTTTGTAAGGTTTAATGGACGTTTGAGCTCGAATACAGCTCGTTATCTCCCCATATTTCATAATATTTTTTTTTATCTGTGTTACACGTATATATTACAACACGAGTATAGACAGTCCATGACTGCATTCCAGTCTGTTATTAATTGGTACTGAGATGCGAAATTCAACATCATTGATAGCGCTGTACATTGAGCAAGGATGATAATAAAAAGACATGTTTTAGCTACATTGTCTGAAATAAGGGTCTAGAAGAAGAAATATTAGTTAATATGGATATAAATTATATAGAACGTAAGTACACTGTAAATCAATTTCTGAGTTTTAAAAATATGTACGTATTCAAATATTAAAAATATGTACGTATTCAATCACTGCATAACATGACCTATTATGAGCCTTTTTTAAGATATTTGCACCAAAGAAGTTTTTTTCATAACTTTTTCGAATTAACACTATAGTAACTGTTAGCTATATGTTACACAAGTGGTGTGTGCCTACATAATTTTTAAATGAACTACAATGTAAAGAGATAAGAACCGCCCATCCACTAGGAGCGGATTTCGTACTCTCTATCTCTCTTATTGACATCTATAATTAGAACTGCGCGTAACGC